ATTTATTTTAATTATATTTATATACGATATTTGATTGAATAAATATTAATTTTTATTTTTTAATATTAATTAATATAAAAAAATTAAATACTACATCAATTACACCGTTAGAACACCCCCTCCCTTTTTTTGTTCTTTTTTATTTTTTTGGTTTGGTAAATAGATAACTCTCTATTGTTTCAATGGTTTAAAAGCCTAGGAACAAAGCACCTCTTTTTTTTTGGTACATAGGAACAAAGCACCTCTAATAATTTTGCGCCCCCCACCCCAAAAAAAAATAGAACCTCTCATAATTAGCCTCTCTAACAAATTCCTAAACTTAATTCCTTTTACTCTTCGCCAAACCAAGGGTTCCCACAAAGCATCCTTGAATAAAGGGGTTATGAATCTCCAAGCCCCAAATTCAAGGTATTCCAGCCAATTAAATTCACAAACACACGGAAAAAAATTAGGTACACATAATTTCCTCCCATTTTCCTTGCATTTTAAACAATTTTAATTTTTTTCAGAGCATGTGAATCTAGAAACAGGAAAAATTTCCAAGACCCACCTCTCCCCCCGTGCCTTAACCAAGTCAATTGAATTTGAAATCAACATATTTCTTTAATTGCAGTTCTTTTGACCCTTCTTGATCTAAAATTTTAAATAATACCACTTCTCCTTCTTCCCCAAAATGCTTTCTGTATTTTTTAAACAATTTCACATTCACATTACATCTTTCCTTTTTTCCTTTTTTTGTCCTGTGTAGAGCCATAGAAGAGAAGCTATAAACCCAAAAGCAGAACCACCAACAACCCTTCTCTTCAAGAAACCAGAAGATTCCCATTTATTGTACACATTGAGAAGGAGGTGGCAAAAGAGAGAACCCCATTTTCCTTTTTCCCTTTTCTTATCTCCAACACCAGCTCAATCGCAACACAGACGCAGAATAATCCTCATTTCTTGAATACCCATTTTTTAAAACCTAGCCCTTATTGAAAATCCTGAGTCTTTAGGAGAATCTGGGGCTTCTGAGAGATAATGTCAAAACAAATGTCGCATCTTGACAACATTTCTTCGACTTCTGGCAAGTTCAAGATGGAAAAATCAGCATACAGTCACAACAGACCCAGGTGGCACTCCTCCATTGCAAAGCTCTCGTTTTGGTCCTTTATCTTCCTGGTTGTGATCTTGATATTCTTCTTTCGATCTCCGCCTTCCAATCCCCTTCCTCAAGATCCCTCTCGCCGCTCCCTCCGAAACTACAATTGGGGCGGACCCGCTTGGGAGAAGCAGGTACGGTCTTCTGCACGGGTCCGGTCCGGAAACGGTATTTCGGTGTTGGTTACTGGAGCCGCCGGTTTCGTTGGTACCCACGTGTCGGCAGCTCTGAAAAGACGCGGAGACGGTGTTCTTGGGCTTGACAGTTTCAATGACTACTATGACCCTTCATTGAAGAGAGCTCGCCAAGCGCTTTTGGAACGCACTGGAGTGTTCATTGTTGAAGGGGATATCAACGATTCGGTTCTTTTGAAGAAACTTTTTGAGGTTGTGCCGTTTACCCATGTTATGCATTTGGCTGCTCAAGCAGGGGTCAGGTATGCCATGGAAAATCCAGGCTCTTATGTTCATAGTAACATTGCCGGACTTGTTAGTTTGCTTGAAGTTTGTAAGTCTGCTAATCCACAGCCTGCAATTGTGTGGGCGTCTTCGAGTTCAGTTTACGGGCTTAATTCAAAAGTTCCTTTCTCGGAGAGAGACAGGACTGATCAGCCTGCTAGTCTGTATGCTGCTACTAAGAAGGCTGGTGAAGAGATTGCACACACCTATAATCATATATATGGACTTTCTCTCACTGGATTGAGGTTTTTCACTGTCTACGGTCCATGGGGTAGGCCAGATATGGCATATTTCTTTTTCACTAGAGATATTTTGAAAGGAAAGTCTATACCCATTTTTGAGGGAGCTAATCATGGCACGGTTGCTAGGGATTTTACCTACATTGATGATATTGTGAAGGGATGCTTGGCAGCATTGGATACTGCAGAGAAGAGTACAGGTAGTGGAGGGAAGAAGCGAGGACCTGCTCAACTGAGGGTGTACAATTTGGGGAATACTTCACCTGTGCCAGTTACAGAGCTTGTGAACATCTTGGAGAGGCTTTTGAAGGTGAAAGCAAAGAGGAATATCATGAAGTTGCCTCGTAATGGAGATGTTCAGTTCACTCATGCTAACATTAGCTTGGCTCAAAGGGAGCTTGGCTATAAGCCTACCACAGATCTGCAGACAGGCTTGAAGAAATTTGTCCGGTGGTACCTCGGTTACTATTCTGGTGGGAAGACAGCTGCCGGGTGATGCAATCTTTCTTAATTCATGTTCATTATGATTCTTATGATTGCTTTTAACATTTCCCTGTTCATTGCCCGATTATTGTCCTTTCACATACATCTTTAATGATGCCACATAAGGAAGAACACTGTTTCCTACATTGAGGAAGCTTTGTGGTTTGCCAGGCAGTCCCTGGCTTGTATCAAAAGAAAACCAGAGCCTTCTTTTTCTCCCTCCCTATTTTCTTTCACCGGAATGTAATTGTTGTAGTTTCAGCATTTGTAGAATTCATGACTGATAGAGCATATGGTGATTGGTGGACCTGTTCCATTGTCATCCAATTTCAATAAAATAGCGCATGATGGAATGTTTTTTCTTCCTTTACCCCAACTAGCTACATTTTATTTATTCAATAATTTGGTTCATCACAAAAGGAAATGGTTATTAATGATTCCTAATATACTTATTTTTCTGATACGTTAAATAATAAGTTGTACAAGAAGAGTAATCCTCCCAAGCGACACCATATGGTAGTTACTAATATTTATTTATATATGATAATTCATGTGGATGGTATTGCTAGTGGTCCTATTTTACCAGTTAGATAACCCCCTTTCCTTTGACATTGACACCTAGTTGAAAAGCGCAGTGGGCTACCTTTCAGAAGGAAAGGTGGATCTTCTCTGTTGCATTTAGTTTATGTTTCCTTCATTCAGCGTAGCTTTATCTTCTATACCAATACAACTTGTTCTTGATGCATAACGTTTAAAGTTCTTAATTTATATTTGTAGGCAGAATTCATTGCTAGTTTTTTCTAAAGATAGTTCTCAATAACAGATGAAGATATAGTTAGGGGGGGATAGATAAACTGTGGCTTCAGGAATCAAAAGATGCTGAGTAATTTCTTTAAGAATCAGTTAGGTTTTCAGACCCCATGTTATGAGATGTGAACATTGAGCATTCTTTTGTGTTGCCTTTCAATTGGGCTCTTATTATGGGGAGGATTGACAGAAAGTTTTGGTAAGGAAATGATAAAATGTAAAGGTTCATTCAGCTCTCAGTAGGTCTATCTACATGCTTACGGCAGAACATGAGATCAGACAGCAGCAGGTATTATCATACAACAACCATTTTCTACCAATCGGGCCATTTTCTTGTTCACAGACATTATTTAAGGCACGGGAGAGTGGCTTCCACTTTTCTTCAAACATTTAATAACTGCTTTGATTAATTAAACCTTGTTTGAACAGTACAACATGCATGCAATTAGACCTGTTCCGCCTCCAATACAATTGTAAGATTTCTACCTTCTAGAGGTTTCTTACCAAATTGACGACCTTTCCAGCATAGAATTCATTTCACCAGACGGGTTCTGCGTGTCTCTGGGTATCAAATAGCAACATTATCTACAACCACCTTTCTTTTGCAAACAATGTGACTTCCATCACAAGCAATTTAATGCCACAGAAAAAATTCAAACTTCGTTATTTCACGTGAGAAGAAAATTTCTCATAAAAATAAAGCATTGACATATTCTATAGCCTAACTTCTCTCCAACAACAAACATGCAAAGCGATGTATGAAATTGAGATGCTCAATCATCATATTTATTCGCTACCATAATTTTGATTGTACTGAAATTAGGGCCTCGAACCATCTTTGGCCTATTTTTTT